ATCACTTCAAACTTGTGTATCCTGCCTTAAAGGAAAAATGACCAAGACTCCCTTCAAAGGGAAGATGGAACGGGCCGAGGGTCTTTTGGATTTGATTCATTCAGACGTGTGTGGTCCACTAAGCGTTAGTGCTAGGGGTGGTTTTAACTACTTCGTTACCTTTACCGATGATTATTCTAGGTATGGTTTCGTGTACTTAATGAAGTATAAGTCTGAAACTTTTGAAAGGTTCAAAGATTTTAGACACCAAGTAGAAAACCAACTCGGTAGACGTATTAAGAAACTACGATCCGATCGTGGTGGCGAATACTTAAGTACTGAGTTTATAGACTATCTTAAAGAGAATGGGATTCTGTCTCAATGGACTCCTCCTGGAACTCCTCAACTTAATGGAGTTTCCGAACGTCGGAATCGAACACTGTTAGACATGGTTCGATCTATGATGGGGTTCACCGAGCTACCGGCATACCTGTGGGGTCATGCACTCCTAACTGCCGTGTATTTGCTGAATAGGGTTAATACCAAAGCAGTTAACTCCACACCTTATGAACTTTGGCACTCCAAGAAACCCACGTTTAAACATATTAGGATATGGGGTTGTCCCGCTTACGTGAAGCGGCTAGTGGGAGATAAGTTGGATAGAAAATCCGACCTATGCTATTTTGTGGGGTATCCCGAGGATTCCATGGGATACGAATTCTACTATGTTTCCGAGGCAAAGGTGTTCGTCTCGAGAAATGCCGTGTTCCTTGAGAAGGAATTTCTATCGGATAGAAAGGGCAGTGTAGTTGATCTCGAAGAAGTTCGAGAACCACAATCTGAAGTTCAAGCACAACAATCAGATAATGAACCAATTCAACAAACCACTAACATACCTCCTGAACCGTCGCTGCGTAGATCCGAAAGAGTTCGGAGAGCGCCCGATAGGTTATTCCTCGTTGATGAAGTTGACCAAGGATGTGATCCTAGAACTTTCAACGAAGCTGTATCGGATACAGACAAGGGACATTGGCTTAATGCCATGAAATCCGAAATGGACTCTATGTACTCCAACAAGGTATGGACCTTGGTAGATCCACCCGAGGGAATCGTTCCCATAGGCTGCAAATGGATCTATAAGAAGAAAATTGGAGTAGATGGAAAGGTATCGACCTACAAGGCTAGATTGGTAGCGAAGGGTTATACTCAAAAGCAAGGAGTTGACTATGAGGAAACCTTCTCTCCAGTTGCTATGCTTAAGTCCATTAGGATTTTGCTGGCCATCTCTGCGTGGTATGACTACGAGATATGGCAAATGGATGTGAAGACCGCTTTCCTTAATGGGGACATTGAGGAAGAAATTTACATGGCGCAGCCGGAAGGCTTCATATCTTCTGGAGATGAGCAAAAGGTTTGCAAACTCCAGCGATCCATTTATGGATTGAAACAAGCATCCCGTAGTTGGAACAAAAGGTTCGACACAACTATCAAAGAGTTTGAATTTGTGAAAAACCCGGAGGAACCTTGTGTCTACAAGAAGGTTAGTGGGAGTGCAGTGACTTTCCTTGTACTTTATGTTGATGACATACTACTCATTGGGAATGATGTAGGGATGTTGCAGTCAACTAAAGTATGGTTATCCACACGTTTCTCGATGAAGGATTTGGGAGAAGCATCCTACGTATTGGGAATACGGATCTATAGAGATAGATCGAGGAGATTGCTTGGCTTGTCCCAATCCATGTACATAGACACCGTTCTTAAACGGTTTAGCATGGAAGAATCCAGGAAGGGATTCTTGCCAATGTCCCATGGGGTTCGTCTCTCGAAATCCATGCGTCCTCAAACACAAATGGAAATCGAGGAGATGAAAAAGACACCTTATGCATCCGCTATAGGAAGCATAATGTATGGCATGCTATGTACACGACCAGATATTGCGTATGCTGTGAGCGAGCAGATATCAGTCCGACCCCGGCCCAGCCCATTGGAAGGCTGTGAAGGACATTCTCAAGTACTTGCGAAGAACTCGAGATTTGTTTTTTGTCTATGGGGATACCGAGTTGAAATAAGAAGGCTTCACGGATTCTAGTTTTCAATCGGACGTGGATGACTCAAAGTCAAACTCGGGGTATATATTCAAAGTCAACGGAGGTGCCGTGTGTTGGAAGAGTTCCAAACAAGGCACGACGGCTGATTCCACCACCGAGGCTGAATATATTGCAGCATCAGATGCTTCAAAGGAAGGGTCATGGATTATGAAATTCATCCAAGAGTTGGGTGTATTTCCGAACGCTAGCGATCCAGTACGGCTGTACTGCGATAACAACGGAGCCGTAGCGCAAGCTAAGGAACCAAGAGCTCATCAGAAGTCGAAGCACGTGTTGAGAAAATACCATGTGATCCGAGAGATCATAGAGAGAGGTGAAGTCAAGCTAGACAGAGTCACCTCGGAGGACAATATTGCAGATCCCTTCACCAAGCCATTGTCAGGATCAGTCCACGAGAAACATCGAGAGTCGATGGGACTTAGATTTATGAGTAGTTGGCTTTAGGTCAAGTGGGAGATTGTTAGAGTAGGTGACCGGCAAGCCAACTTGTGGCTGTGGTCTTTCTCTTTTCTTTGTAATAAAACAATCGTTTTTCGTTCGTAATAATAAAATATCTTATTTGGCATTCTATATCTGTTATCCCATGCAAGCAGCATAGATATAGTCCTAACGAGTTACTCTATTACTGTGAGTTGATCTAGTAGAATCGTGAGATAACTCAGCAATGTAATGTAACTGTTAAACCTTGTTCCTAGTCGATGGGTTACGCCAATAATGAGGATACCGGCCTTTCCCTTTTGAGACTAGCACTTAGTGTATGTGTACTGCGTCTCATCAGTCCTCGGTGTTGTGACATCGGCATACTTGAGTGGGTGCTCATACTGGATGAGTTCACTGAACTCCCTCGCCCTAGAAATCTATAAGTGGTTCTCATTCATCGAGTAATAGGTTTCTAAGATATAGTTGTACACCATTAGTCCTTAAGACCCAGACATCACCGTGACTTCACTAGAGGACCGATTGTATCGTGACCTGTCCCTGAGTCCCACCGCGGACCGCTCCAAGGGCCAACGTTCGTGCAATCCGAAATCTAGTGTGAAGTCTGTGCATTGTAGTAGGGGATTCGAGCGCTTGAGCAGTCATGGATGTCCTGTGTGTTCTGACGGTTTATAATCCATGGAATCTCTGGCCAGAGTTGATAGTGGGGTGATTAGGGAAATGTGTTTCCCTAAGTCGCACACGAATGGATTTATAATACCTAGAACGTTCGCACGGTTATTGAACTTTATAAGAGGTCTCGGTGAACCAATGCCTCTAGTTCAATCGGGACATGTGCTACGAAGGGATCGTACTGTACGCTAACTATATCATAAGGTTCTTGCAGGCACTTCATTTGTATCTAGGGAATCATGACGCGTAGTTGCTAGACGCCAATCTTGATTCGTTGGGCACCAATTTGATCGGGATTAGGTAAAATGAGTTTTACTCTAATCGGGACTCTTGGGAGGAGTTCGTATAAGAACAATGTGTTGTTCGAATCACAAAGAGTTGTGAGCCCACGGCTAGCATACACCTGAACCATTGAGGGTCACACTTCTCGTGTAATATAGATCCTTGATAACAACAAGCATAGATTAATGTGTTAATCTTTGAACGATTGGATGTCGATATGATTGAATCCAAGATTCGTAATTGTGGATTGCGAATTGGAATAAACGTAGAGAAAGAGAGACATGCGGAATTTAGTGAACTTTCTAAATTGGGAAGTTTCCCGATTTAGCAAGTCCACTGAAGTGGAAGTTTCCAATTTTGGAAATTGGAAATTTCGAAGAGGCACTCGTATCGACGAGGACTTTGAGCTCGTCACAAATATAATTTTGTTATAATTTTGTGGACGATCGTTTATAAGAAACGAGGCCGTAAAGGGAATGGGCTTAATGCATCAGTGGGTCAAGCCCAATGACTTAAGCCCGCTAGGGTTGAAAACCCTAGGTATAAATAGACCTCAAAAGGAGTTTTGAGATCAGATTTTTTGAGCACAAAAACCCTAGCCGCTCAACACCTCTCGGCCGTTGCATCTCCGCCGCGCCACCGCCGACCACCGCCGGAAACGCCGCCGGTTTTCTCCTCTTTCTCCTTCGTTTTATTCGTGTTGTTATCTAACTCGTTTATATCTAGTGCTATAGTTCGAGTGGGTCGAAAATACGAGGTGAAACCTAATTGGAGAGGAGCTGCTGCCCCGACGAATCCGTGCACCACCGCACGCGCCGCACCGCCGCTCACGCGCCGCCGCTGCCGCTGCCACGCGCCGCCGCTGCTGCTGCCGTTCGTCGCCGCTCGTTGCTTGCTGGATCAGCTCGGTCCAGCCGTGAGGTGCAGCCCCTAGGAGTGGTATATAGCAGCTTGTACGTGACTCGTTCCGAGATTTCGATTCGTCGAAATCGCACGCTACAAGAGGTAAATGAATCGAAACTTTCGTAAACTTATTCGAGCATGTTTGTATGAATTATGATTTACGATTATGAGTAATATGTGATTACATGTTTCGATTTCATTAAATGATGAATAAGCATGTTTCGTGATTTTCGGTTTTATGTATTTTTCAATTAAATCGAAAATTACCATATGTATGGCGGAAGCGTTAAGGTACGTTGACTATGTGATTAGTATTGCATGTAATCGAAACTAGTTCGATATAAAAATTTTTAAATTCCGCTGCGTATACATGCACGATCCCCAACAGTGGTATCAGAGCCACGGGTTAATCGTTTATTTGTCAACGTGTTTATCGTTTTCGAAAGCATGCTTCGATTTGTTGAATTGGTTTTACATTTTCGAAAATCGATAAGAAAAATTCCATTTGGTTTTAGTTTTACATGGATGGAAAATGCTGCAGTAAATACTAGCATATATAAAAAAATTAATCAATTTTATAAATGCACTTGTAACTTCATACCACAATTTAGTATATAATTTGAAAAATTACCAATATTGTCTTTCCATTAACATAATATATTACAAGTGCACAAAAAATAACAACGATTTTCAAAAGAGGTATGCTCGTTCTACTCACAAATATATATATATACACAACAAACATGTATCCACCAAAACATATGAATTAAGCAGCTCAATTATAAAAAAAAAAAAAAAAAAAAAAAAAAAAAAAAAAATCAACAAAGAATTGCCTAACGATGTTCGGGCGACGTGGTGGACGAGGAAGAAGACGAAAAAGCCCCCGACGAACAAGGCGTGTCCAAAGTGGACGAACTCTCCGGAGAGTTCCTACACAGCGGGCAAGTGCCGTTGAGTTTAAGCCACTCGTCTATGCAACCAGCGTGGAAATAGTGGTTGCATTCCGGAACACTCCTTAGGGTTTCTTTAGGCTCGTAGTCGCAGAGGCAAATGGGGCAAGTGCCGTCGGCTGGATTTGGGAGCCGACGGCTCTCCCCCAGCACTGTCTTAGGGTATGACTCTATTGTGGGCCCATCTAGGCCGGTGGTTGACCTAATGATTGACCGTTGATCGGAGAATGTGGTGGTTGTGGGGAGATTGGGGTTTGGGCGGTGACGGAAAGTTTTGATCAAGCCGAAAGAGTAACATGCTAGCCCGATTGCGCATATTAGTCCGGGTATCCCAACTCCGACTATGATGGCGTATTTGGCCCCTCTTGGAAGACCTTTAGCTGGAATTTTAAAACATAGATTAGGGAATGTATGCAACATAAAACATAAAAAGAATTAAATTTAATTTAGGGTAAAATTACAGCCATCCATGTGAGGTAATGTCGAATTACGAAAAACCCCGTATTTTTAGGTAATTACAACCAACCCCTTTAATTATGTAGTGTCTTACGAAAAACCCACTCCTTCAGTAAATAGATTTGACATCATAAGCGTGTACATTTAGGAAATACATAGTTAAATGATGGTTGTTATTACCTAAAAAAATAGGGGGTTTTCGTAATTTTAAACTTTTAATTTAATTGTTTGCCAAAAAATCATGTTCCATTCAGCTAAAAATTTCATCTAAATTTAATAGTCAAAACAATTCGAAAAAAAAGAGATTTATTGCATTTAGCACCGATGTTTCCACTCTAATTTGTCAAAAAACTTTCAATATTATAAATATTAGCAAACAATCCCTATGATTCAATTTTATTAGCAAATTACCCCTAAATAGGGTGGATTTTGCAAATATTTATATAAAAGGAATTTTATAATAATTCAGTATAATAGAGGGTACTAAATGCAATAAACTAAAAGGAAGTGCTGCAAAATGAATAAAAACTCTCCACGCGTCTCTGTTACATGTTTGGTGGCATTTTTTCAACGCATCAATTTCCTGGCCACCAACCACATAACTATTTTCTATTTATTTATTCAAGTTTGTTTGAAAATGTTTACTAGTAATTAATTATACATAACTAAGCATAAATCATAACCAACTAATTAATTAGAGTAAATTGCGTTTTGCACCCCAGAATTAACATTGTTTGGCGTTGTGCACCCTAACATCTTAAAATTTGCAAAGTCCACCCTTACAATATTTATCTCACGGCAAAATGCACCTACCTCAATTTCTTGTAATATTTTAGCCAGAAAAAAAAAATTAATATATCACGATATTTCTGGTTTTCTTTTTCTTACTTAATATTATTTAATTATTTTACTTCTATATAAAATTAAAACATAACTGATGATTTATTTTATATGTTTTGCATCAAAATAAAAAAAAAATATATATATATATATATATATAATTTCTAAGTTTAATTCAATTTCAATTTTCAAAATAAATCAAAACTAATATCTATTAAAAAAATAAAAATAGAATGAGAAGTGAAGTGAAGAACATTATTTTTATTTTTAAATGGGTAATCGATAGAAATTAAACGAATTATTTAGAATAAGGCTTTAAAACATTTGTTTTCAGAAGATAAAATATCGTTTGGGATAAAATCCGGTAACGAATTTTACAGGGTCCATTTCGCCAATTTTGAAATCCGAGGGTGCAAAGCCCCAATTAAGGTTAATTATGGGGTGCAAAACGCAATTCACCCAATTAATTATTTATAAATTTTGATAATTAAAAAAAAACAGAAAACTCACCGGAGCGGCTGCCGGAGCATCCAATCTGAAGACCGGAATCTCCTTCAAACCCGCAAACGCCGCCCTGCATCTCACACCTCCCGCACGGCGGCTCACTCCAAACCAGCTCGAAATCCCCACTCAAATCCATCGGCCACCCATAGAGCTGCGGAACCGCCCACGCCAACGGAACCGAAACCTCCGCCACCTTCCGGCACTTCTCCGGCACCGAAAACCCCGGCCGATTCATCGCAGCCAAAACCGTGCTGTTTCTCCCACTCAGGCAAGACAGCTCCACGTAACCGCCGGACGCCGCCGCGTCGTAGTCCGCCCAATTATCGGAGCAGTTGATGAAAACGTATTGCGATAAATGGGAGCCCCGGAATGGAGAATCCGACAGGCTGAAGCTCGCGGACCGGTTCGGAAGGCACGAACCGGGATCGTCGATGTATATCGCCGGTGTTCTGTAGTCGATGTAGTCAACCACGAACTCGCCGGATTGGGGGAGGTTGAGAATCGTTTGGTTTCGGCTGTTGCAGTACAGGTCGAAACCCGGGTACCCGCACCGGACCGGCTGCCGGTTTGCCAGCCGGAAAGGGAACCGGATTTCCGGTCCGGTGATATGGTCGCACGATACCGGTTCGCATGAATTTGCAGATTGAGTTGGAATTGTAAACAAGAAGAAGAAGATGAGAAATTGGGCTTTGGTTCCCATCTAGTTTTTTTTTTTTTTTTTTTTTTTTTTGCAGAGAAATTCATATTTTTCATTTGGCTTCAAAATATTTACATATATAATTATTGAAGGTCCAAATATTATTATTTTATTATTTCTTTTTCAAGTTATTTAATTAATTGTTAAAAATATATGACTATCCTATCCTCGAGTTTATATAAGAAATCAAATCATATAAATTGACTTGAGATCTAATTATTAACAATTTAATACTCTAAACACTTTTAAAGCCCTCAATTTTTTTATATTTTTTTTTATAAGTGACTTGACTAGCTCTTAAATATATTGCGAAATTACGAAAACCCTCCTAAACTTGGGTTAAATTACAAAAAATACCTCCTGTAGACACGTAAATTTAATATAATTTATATTATATTAAATTGAATCCCAAGATTATATTTTATCTTGCAAAATAAGTCATGGAAATAATCATCAATTAATTATTGACCAATAGGATTGTTTCTTCTCTTCCAAGTTATAAGAGATAAATATCAATTTAAAGAGAGCCAATCAAATCGCGCCACGTCATCAAGAAGACTTCATGTAGGACTCTTATTCTACTATTATAAATAGGGACCCTCCCTACACAATTCAAGAGACAACTCAAGAAGAAGAAAAACCGTAGGAGAAAATTCTCTCTACGGCGTTCTTCATCAAATCGGAGGAGTTCATCAGTTCTTCATCAAATCGGAGGAGTTCATCAGTTCTTCATCAAATCGGAGGAGTTCATCAAATCGAAGGTATTCTTCATCAAATCAAGGCGTTAAAGCGTTTAATTCGAGATTACGGTGCTAAACCCTCGAATTAACGTTATTAACATCAAATCAAGATCGAAGGAAGATTGAAGGGTCAAATCCATCAAGAACTCCAAGATCTTCAAGTCAAAATCCGTCAAAGTTCAGCGTTCGATCCGAGATTCAAGTCACAAGACCCTCGGAAGACGTTATTCAAATCCAAATCAAATCCGGAGAAGATCAAGTCAACGACTCGTCTCCGAAATTCAAAGTCAATCATATATTTTTCTTGAGAGAAGAATCAGAGGATTAAATTAGAGTTTGTAACCCGCAATATTTTATTTTAATTCAATAAATTATTCTTGTGCAAGTATTTTCTTGTTTGTCTAAATCGCAGATAAGATTTTGTTGCTACACCTCCATTTACATGTAATTATCAAAACTATCATAACGTTTGTTTACATCTTGCACCTACCCTCTTCACGGAATATTTTTTATTCGAGTGAATTTTTTTCGAAAAATACTAATTCTACCCCTACATAAGTCACATTTTTTTATGCTACTTTTTAAAATGCGAAAATTATTCTTAGGGGGCCTTTACACGATTTCTTTATTCTTATTAAAAAACAAAAAGAAATGTCATTTCTGTTGAGGTGAAATTGGTATTTTTCAGAAAATATTCTCTTGAATCAAAAACCTTCCGTGAAAAATCACACCATAAGGGAGTCGGTGTAAAGCAAAAACAAATATCAGGGGATTTAGGTAATTACATATAGGTGGGGATGTTTAATTTAGCCTAAGTTCAGGGGAATTTTCGTAATTTACCCAACATATTATTACTATTAAAAAAACAATGAAAAAAATAAAACAAATGAAAAAATAAAATAATAAAAAATTCAAGACAACGAGAAAACATAGTCCACGACGTCAGCCACAATTTATTTTTTATTTTTTATTTTTTTGATTCTTTTCAATAATTATTTAAACCGGGAGGGGTGGCTTATTTGTAATTTTCAGACTTAGGTCAAATGGTGTTAATGTCAAATGTCTGAAAACTAACGGCGAGGGCCGCATTGAGACAATTTTTTAAGTACAGGGGGCCAAATCGATACAATCAAGAGTATAAGAGATAAAGTAATATCGAACCAAAGTATAAGAGGAAAAATGGAATTTACCCTAAACTAAAATCATAAATATAACTATTCATGCCCTAGATTTTTTTTAATTCGAATATTTTTGTTATTCTATTTATTTATTTATTTATACGAATTATTTTTCATTTCCCGTTTTTCTCCAACAATTTTCTGAAGGTCATTTCTGCAACTTCCTCTTTATTTTTGTACAACTTTTGCTTATGACTTAAAACGATTTTTTTTTTCTTTCTATTAGGGATTGAACAGTAAAATAAAACTTTACTAAACTAAACAAGTTTCTTAATGTACATAAAAAATCTCAATAAATACACCATTAATTCATGCAAGAAATTAACTAAAAAATAATATAATAAACAAATAAAAATTCCACGATTTAACTTATAGTTTCCAAGTCTCGAGCTACCTGCAATTATATGGGGGTAAATTTGTCCCATAAATTTTAAATGACCAATGAATGAATTTTTGAATATTTTCCATTGTAAATGCAAAAAAAAATATTTTCTTGAATTGAATCAACGACTTGTACCAATTCAAAGCCTAAGTCATTACCGTGCAAAAACGATAACCACCCAAGTCATATGTAGTATGTAACCATTGTTACATTCATCAACCAATCTCTATCTTAAATAATTTATGCAAAAAAAAAAAAAAAATTGAAGATCGTTTCTTCAATTTTTTTTTTCTTTTATTTACTACAAATTTTTTGTTGAAACTATTAATTTTAAATGTTACATTTGATTAATATGTTAAGCTTTTAGTTGAGGTGGTCATTCTGTATGAAATCAAAATCATGTCAAATGAAAGGTCATGTGTTAGAGCAATACTGAAT